TGTACTGTGTATTTTCATTCATGGGAAAGTGTAGTATTTTGTTGCTTTCTACACTTTGTTTTTTCCTTCACGGGATTGTAATATGTCTGTATGTTTGTTTCACGAGAAAGCATGTACTTGTGACCTATGTAACTCTCAACTCTATAAAAACTATGTATCTCTTTTATTCTATCGAAACTTGTAGTCTCTCTTCTTATATTGTCTCTTGTCTCTGTTTTTTTTCATAAACACTTAACCAAAGTTCCATCTCTTCTACTACCAATATTGTTCTATCTCTTGAAAACTCCTAAGATAAGCCACAAAATGGGGTATAGGACATTTCGACCACCATCACATTTTAACTTTTTCCAAACACTTAGCCAAATTCCCAAACCCTTAACTCATTTTTCTTCAAAAAAAAATTACAATGTCTTCCTCATCGTCTGATGGTGTTGATGAAAGATTAGACGAAGCTTTTGAAGAAATATTCGACCAACAGTTTGATCATGCTTTCGAGTCAGCGTTCGATGTTCAAGCCAAAAAACCGAGACGAGCTCATATCGAAAGAGATCGGGAACAAGGTCACAATATACTCTGGAACAACTATTTCAGCGAAACTCCTACATATCCACCTGAAATGCTTAGGCGCCGTTTTCGAATGAATAAGCCATTATTCCTTCGCATTGTCGATCGCCTAAGTAATGATGTTCTCTACTTTAAGCAAAGAAGAAATTCTCACGGAAGGTACGGGCTATCTGCACTACAAAAGTGTACAACAGCTATACGTATGTTGGCATATGGTCAATCGGGAGATACGTATGACGAATATCTGCGACTTGGTGAGAGTACTACATTTTTATGTTTGGAAAATTTCACTATGGGATAATACAATTGTTTGGAGATGAGTATCTAAGGAGACCGACTGCGGATGATCTTCAATGATTACTCGATGTTGGAGAGGTACGCGGGTTTCCAGAGATGATAGGCAGCATCATCTGTATGCATTGGGAATGGAAAAACTGTCCAATGGCTTGGGGAGGGCAGTATACACGTGGTTTAGGAAAGCCGAGAATTGTCTTAGAGGCAGTGGCATCACATGACTTATGGTTATGGAACGCTTTCTTCGGAGCTCCGGGTACCCTCAACAATATTAATGTTCTTGATCGATCACCAGTTTTTTATGACATTTTACAAGGTCGAGCTCCTAAAGTTAAGTTCAAGGTCAACAGCTACAATTATCGCATGGTGTACTACCTTACAGACAGAATCTATCCAAAATGGTCAACATTTATCCAATCCATCCCACTTCCTCAAGGTCCGCCGAGCTATTTGCTCAACGTCAAGAATCCGTCAGAAAAGATGTCAAACGTGCTTTTGGAGTATTGCAAGCTAGGTTTGCAATAGTTAAAAAATCCAGCTCTACTATGGGACAAAGAAAAGATAGGAAGGATAATAAGAACTTGTGTCATACTGCACAATATGATAGTAGAGAACGAACGAGACGGATACACTCAATATGATACGTCTAACTTTGTATCAGGAGAGTCAAGCAGGAGTTCCCAGGTTGATTTCTCGTACTCTACAGACACCCCTTCCAATATCGGTAATATGCTTGGCATTAGCAATCAAATTCGGGATCAACAAACACATGCTCGTTTGCAAGCTGATTTAGTTGAAAATATTTGGCAAAAGTTTGGTAATCGAGATGAATAATCTATGTACGTTTATGATTTCTCAATGTATTGAATAAAAAGTTTATGAATTCTCAATGTATTAAATAAAAAGTTTATGAATTCCCAATGTATTGAATATAAACTTAAAAAAAAAAACTATATATGTTTAAGAATTCTCAATGTATTGAATAAAAACTTTAAAAAAAATATTCATAAGAACCCGATCTTTAGGTTCACTAACGGTAGAGCAAACAATATACGGGTTCAACACTATTCATGGTCCCACCAGAAATATATTAAAAAAATCTAGTGAACCCCAAGTGGGGGTTCACTAATAGGCATGCTCTTAGAGCACCCCCATCAAAGGCTGATGGGGGGAGGTTCACACACAAACCAAGAAAAAAAATTAAAATATAATAAAAGTGATGAACCTGGGTCGATGAAGCTCTCCCTGGTGAACATGTATCATCACTGTTCCGTGGGCCCCACGACACGTGGCGGCCTGCGATTGGCCAATTTTTTTTTTAAAAAAAAAATCAGACGAAAAAAAAATAAAATAGAAATAATAAAAAAAGTTGTGAACCCCCATCCTCAGGTTCACTGATGGGGGTGCTCTTATTCTATCAAACTCATCAATGTCCATTCACACTGTTATAACTATTCTTTTTTGTCGTTTGATATAGGGGTCACCCATCTTAAACTTGTGTGTTACTATATACCATTGAGAACTGACATGCTAACATTTACTGATAGTTATGAATCTATAGATTGTGAAAATGCACTTGCCGTAACATTCAAATCACACTTAACATAAACTTGCCTAAGTGCCGACTTGAAACCATGTTTGAAGCTAAGTGTGTAAATATATTACAGCTCCAAATTCGGTATTACTGTATGGGAATACTTTGCATGGACCACTTGATCATTTTACTTCCGTCCATATATATATATGTTGAGAGAGCAACGAGGAGCATCCGATAGCATTTGGCGTAATTTGGTAATAAGCCAATTTGTCCACTGCTAGATAAAATTATCTTTTTTCACTTCTAAATCCCAAACAATTCGATTATGAGTCTGTACATAAAGATTTAAGAGCACCATTAACCCTAGCACTCCTAAGGAGGTTCTTAATCATTTTTTTAATAATAATGACGTGTTAATAATCCAAATTAAGAAACTTCTAAATTCGAATCCTCCAATGCAAGTTGCTTATTTTGGGGTTATTAAAAAAAACAACATAAACAGATGGATCATTTTTCAGCAATATCTTGAAATGAAACTCAGACTATATAAATTGATTGATCTAGCTTACTTATACAGTCATGAGCATCCACAAACACCAACACAACTCATCACGATTTACCTTGTGATTGCAGACGATCCATTTAAGTTTTTATACCATAGCCAGGACAAGAAAATCTACAAAGGACAAAGACTTATCACGCCTTTGCTTTGGCTTCATATTCATGTGGAGGCTGCAATACAAAATATCATTCATTCAGTACACAAAGAAATATATATAAAATATAGAGAGAAACTGATCTTTCTTACCATAAAAGTTGCAGATATCATCTTTTGTACAAACCATCTTATGTGTTGAGCTGCCACTATCGCCTGCACTGAGTCAAACCACAGATACACGAAACCTGAACTCTTCCTGCATTTTACCAGATGCACAGCACCAATATATCAAAATCTATCAAACATCAAAAGCTATTTTTAACTGAAACTCATGGGATGATGATGTTACTTACTTGTCTACATAAATATGGTTGACTCTCTCGTACTTTGAACATTCTAGGCCAACGTCTTCTTCAATATCTTCATCAAAATCATGTTTCGTCTGCAAACAAAATAAAACATTATTGGTAATACTACTTATTAGAAAACAGCCACAAGGCTGATTGAAACTCTTTTTTCAAAGGAACATTTGTCCAGACAGAGCAATGGCCATAGGAACAGACATCATCAGATCATAGAACTCTATATACCTTCAAGACAAACAAAGAGAGAGATGTTGAATTACAGTACACGTGGGAGGAAAATATCAGAATGAAACATACAAAGAAGTTAGAAACAAAAAAAAACTTTAGTGCAGGGATTCAAGCTGAGTCCTAGGTTTCAAGTGCACATACACATTACCTAAGATATGATAGAAAGCTAAAAGAAGAAACATACCCGACTCCTTTTGACCGTCTTGAGTTTCTGTCCATGATCAATCTCACGTCCCTGACCTGAAATCATACAGAAAAGAAGAAATTAGGAAACATAAACTAAGAGAAACAAGATCAGACATCAAACATTATGACCAGAAAGAGAAATCAAAGAGCAAAGATAACAAAATACGATAATGAATCGACAGCAAACATTAAGGTTCCCATACACAATCGAAGGGGGTGAATTGGAAAAGACAGTTCTTCTCAAACATCTAACGAATCGAGCCATCCACAGACATGAGTGTAGCAGCGACGAAGATTTGGCGAGCCCTGCAAACAGAATCAATCCAGAGAGAGAGAGAGAGAGAGAGAGAGAGAGTGACGCAGAATGTCCAACACGTGTCACATCAGCACTGTGTCTTGTGAACTTAATTAAGCGTCGTTGCTACATAATTTTTTTTTTTTAAATCCTAAAAACATTAAAAACCCACCATAAGCAACTGCGTTAATAGTTCTCTAACGTCATTGCTCGCATTAGGACAAGTGTCAGGTCCAAGGACGGCCATGAATCAATACTTCAAGACAGAGGAAGGAGGAAAGAAGCGGGAGCATGTGGAAGAGAGAAACATAAGAATGTTTCCAAAGGGTGATTATTATATTAAGCAATCAAATTAAGAGAGGGGGGCTCACAAAGAGCACGTGCTGCGTGCTGCTTCTCCATTTTCTCTTAAGGCCTCAAAGCTTTGTTCTTACTAAACAGCTGTTTCATAGCTGTCTGATCTCTATCTCCCCATGTGACCCCATTCATAGATATAGCTTATAAGACCATCTCAATGAGGGGTTTTTATGGTGGGGTTTTTAGTGGATTATAAGAATTCATCTCTTAACTTTTAATTAAAAGAACTAAAAACCGATTCTTAAATAAGACATTCAAAAATTGGTTCTTAATTTTTTTAGTTAAAAGTTAAGAGACGGGTGTTTATATTTTGCTAAGAATTTTACCCTAAGAACCCCCATTAGAAATGTTTTAAGTATATAACCCTTTAAGACCGAATCCATATATAAATTAATTTTAATTTTTTCTATTATAAAATAATCTTATCTCATGCATCCCTTCTCTCTATATCTCTTACTTCTGTTTTGTATAACTACTCTTTGTTATACATAGCCATTTTAGTTACTCTTGTTTGTTTCTCATTCCTCCTCTTTCTCTCTCTCTTTCTCTCATTCTTGAAAATTTCATAAAGAAAAGTGTTTTTTTGTGTGTGTCTGCCACTAATCCCATTAATGGCACAACTTCCTCCAAAGATCCCAACCATGACGACTACGACGCCGCATTGGCCTGACTTTTCCTCCCAAAAACTACCTTCCATCGCCGCAACCGCCGCAGCCACCGCGGGACAACAAAACCCTTCATGGATGGACGAGTTTCTCGACTTCTCATCGACTCGCCGTGGGACACACCGTCGCTCAATAAGCGACTCCATCGCGTTCCTAGAAACTCCTTCCTCCGGCGTAGGAAGCCATCACTTCGACAGGTTCGACGATGAGCAGTTCATGTCCATGTTCAACGATGACGTACACCAAAACCACAACAATGCGGGTCCCACGCGTTCTTCTTCCAACACCTCCACGCCGTCCAGCGACGATGACATTAACAAAGAACCACCACCGTCCGATCATAATCACATGGACACCACACCCGTTTCCAACAACGTCGGCGGTAACATTAATAACAATGAAACAGACGAGGTTCAAAGCCAATGCAAGACGGAGCCGCAAGATGGTCCGTCGGAAAATCAGGACTCCGGTGGTAGCTCCGGGAACCGTATTCACGACCCCAAAAGGGTAAAAAGGTAAATTTATCATTTTAGGGTTAAATTACTATTTCAAGAAACCAAACCAAGGTCATGCATGCACGTACAATTTATAATTTCAAACTCGTATATATCGTTTTTTTCTAATTATAAAATAGTGTCACATCGAGAACAATAACTATTTTGTTTTTGCTGAATTTTTCTACAGAATTTTAGCAAATAGGCAATCAGCACAGAGATCAAGGGTGAGGAAACTGCAATACATATCAGAGCTTGAACGGAGCGTTACTTCATTGCAGGTAAACATAGACGCACCATTACATTTTATTTATTTATATATATATATATAGGGGTGGGCGCAAGGCGATTACTTGCGTTTTTGTGTATCCTTGATACTTGACTTGCCTTAAACAAGTAATGAATTTTCGGACTTGTACTTGCCTTGTCGAAAACGAGTACTTGTTATTTCGAGTACTTGTCCAAAAATATGTTACTTGCAAGTTACTTGCCTCGTTCGATTACTTATTACTTGCAAATACTTATGAATTATTTGGATATTTTATTCAAGTTTCTAATAACTATTTATTAGATAATATTGTATAAGAAAAGATTATGAAAGTTTATTTTGTTTATTCAACTGAGAAAAAACACAAANTACTTGTTATTTCGAGTACTTGTCCAAAAATATGTTACTTGCAAGTTACTTGCCTCGTTCGATTACTTATTACTTGCAAATACTTATGAATTATTTGGATATTTTATTCAAGTTTCTAATAACTATTTATTAGATAATATTGTATAAGAAAAGATTATGAAAGTTTATTTTGTTTATTCAACTGAGAAAAAACACAAAAGTTACTTCAAATAAAATATTTGTACCTATTATAAAGAAGAAGAAATAAATACATAAATGTTTCGATACAAAATATTTTTTATTTCTTATAATATATAAATATATTTTTAAGACTTTTGTTTCTATGGTCTAGTTATCGTTTTTTTCAGTTGTAAAACAAGTAACAAGTAATATCAAGGCGAGTCGATAATTTCTTTGTAATACTTGTTACTTGACTTATACTTGCAAATAGCAAAACTAAGCGACTTGATACTTGACTTGAAAACGACGAGTACTTAAAAAAACGAGGCGAATACGGGTCAAGTAACGAATATAAGGCGAGTAACGAGTATTTGTGCCCAGCCCTATATATATATATCTCTTAATTAATGTATGATAATTAAAATATTAAAATGCTAACTTCTATTAAAATTTGTGAAATGAAGACGGAAGTGTCAGTGTTATCGCCAAGAGTTGCGTTTTTGGATCACCAGCGATTGCTTCTCAACGTCGACAATAGCGCTATCAAGCAACGAATCGCCGCTTTAGCACAAGACAAGATTTTCAAAGACGGTAACTTTACTATTTGTACGTATTTCCAATTTTCTAGAACTTCATGAATAAACAAAATAAAAATATAGTACATATAAAATGTCAGGGAAATCATCAAATTGAAAATAGTGTGTATTTTTTACTGTTTTTGCTATTATTTGCACTTAGTGTATTTATTTACCACTGACAATACATATTACATATGCTCGACCAAATCATTATTCTTTAGCAATACGACTATACAAAGAAGTACTCGCGGCAATGCATGCTTCATCATGCGTTTACAAAGTTACATGAAATATACGTTAATCATGAATGACTTTAGTAGATGTTGCACCCTTTCTTAATTTTAAGGTTTGCATACTCCTTAGTAATTATTATATAATATATATAGGTCTAGGTACATAGATCACATGGTTGATAAATAATAGCCTGATTAATAAGCTAGAACAACTGTCCATGTGTTCACATATGACATAAGTAAACAAAAACATGTGAGTACTCATTAAACATTTAGGTTTATTGATAATTATAACAATGATTGCAAATTTAACAATTTCAGCTCACCAAGAAGCATTGAAGAGAGAAATAGAGAGACTTCGTCAAGTATATCATCAACAGAGTCTCAAGAAGATGGAGAATAATGTATCCGACCAATCGCCGGCCGATACCAAACCGTCCGTTGAGAAAGAGCAGCTCCTTAATGCCTAAAGCTGTTTCATTCATTAAGATCTTATCTCTTTATGGTGAAATAATTCTTGACTATAAAACCTCTTTTGTGTCAAGCAATTATTTTATCAAATAAGAAGACCTTTTTATTTAATCCAGTCACATTTTTTTATGTTGTGATGAATTTGCTTTGATGTTTCTGATTTTTTTTTATGGATTGAGAGGGGAAATTGGGAATGATATGTACAAAGAAATTAGCTGATTTGTTGTTTATTCAGTATATTTTGTTGGAGTGTCTAATTAAGCATTGTGTCTAATTAACTGAAATTGTTTGGAACATTTTTTCATCAGTTTCTTGCCAAACTTGGGGGGTAATCGAATAGTTAAAGATTCTCATTTTTTTGTGTCACATGCATGGATCGATCAAATTTTGATGTGTACCAAGAATCCATATAATACAAGATATTATTTTATACTTGGTTCTATTGACATAAAGCACCCATAGTTTTAAGATTTATATTCGAAGTGACTGAAAGCAATTTCACATTCCTTAAACTCACATACAAAATTATTTTATCATTCTTTGAAAAAAATCAAGTAATATTATAATGATTTCGACAACAAAGAAAAACATGTAAGAATGTGTGTAGAATGTTAACTTCCTTACGCAGGGCTTGGAGATGTCATGTATAATCTAGATGGCAATACATTTATGAATCTCATATACGATTTACAACACATGTTGCCCAAAAGGAAATTTACAAACACATAACGAAATTAGTGTAAATGGCGAAAATTACAGAGAAAAGGGATATTGGTGAACTTTTTTTTGTTTCAATCAAAACCTTTTGGAGAAGTTAGGTCAAAGGGGTCAAATCTGAAAATGTGGGGTGAAAAAAGGAAAAAGAAAAAGAAAAGGAAGAACGTGGAGACATCTGAGGCTAAGCTGTAAGTTCACGTGCTATGTTCCTTGGCCTGGACCACGATGGCCTCGCTACATGATTGGCTTTGTTTGATTTTTTTTATTAACAATGATAATAATGTCTGGTCAATACCAGTTATCTTGTAAGCATTTCCAAAGTAGAATGAGACGGTCAAAGTTAATTCTAAGGAAGATTAATTCAAGAGTGTTAAAATAAGAAAAATGGAAGAGGATAATTTTAAAAGACAGAGGTTTAGTGACTTAGAGCACCTTCAGTGAGGGTTGTACCTATTGGAGTTCTTAAAAAAATATATATATATATATATATATATATAAATATATTTATATATGTATGTAAGTATGAAGTCTAATATTTTGTGAAAAATTCTATTTTAAAGGTTTTTAAGATCGCCAATTAAAATTTTTTAGGATGAGATTCTCCAAATAATGAACCTTACATTTATCATTTTAAGAATTCTAATGGGTAGAATTTATCAATTCAATTGTAAAACTCTATTTTAGTGTGATTTTTACACTACAACTTTTTCAACTCAACCACAAAATCACACTATTTTAGTGCAACTTTAAAATTTCACACCAAATTTGATGTGATACTATTCACAACACTAAAATACTATTTATCTCACTAAAACACTATTTACTTTATTTTCTTTATAAAGTATATAGTTAAATAAATAACAAGAATAAAATAAATAAATATAATATTATAAAAAAGTTTCAGTGTAAAGTTTTGTGTTATGGTTGGAGAAAAAAAATTTTAGTGTTGAAACTATATTAAAATAGTGTGGTTTTAACACTAAAATATTGTTTATGGTTGAAGATGCCCTTAGTGATGTTGTGTTGGGATATATATGTGTCACTTTTCATTTTTCAATATTTAAACTGTATGTCAATGCCAATACCAAGGCCTTCCTCTAAATTTGTCTTCTTACTTTTTTACTCAAGTCAATCTTCTCAAGGTCTGAATGTTGTTCGCGGTTTTGATAATATAAGTGGTGCGAAATTAAAGTACGGTATAGTGTAAATGCGGTTCGTACGGTTTGTGCTATAAGTGCGGATTTCATAGAAAAAATAGTACGGTTTTGATAAAAGAAAGTAATATGGTATTATTAAAAAAAGTAATACGTTTAATTGAAAATGTAAAATTATTATATTAATACAATAAGAATTGAATTTTCTTAATAATAATATCTTACCATTTTAAAAAAAAATTGTAACTAAATAGAAGGACAAGTCACCAGTAGACCGCTCAACTTTTTTTTATTGAAAAAGTAATCCAGTTTTAATTGAAAAAACAGTGAAACTTTGATAAAAAGTAATGTAAAATAAATATAATATAAATAAGATTAAACATGTTTTACTTAGTAATAATGTTATAGTATTTTTTTATAATTTTAAATATTAAAATCTATGTTGCGGAATAGGGCGGTCTCTATTGAAAAAGTAATGTGGTTTTGATTAAAATAGTGTTGCGGTTTGATAAAAAAATGTATTACCGTTTTGATGAATAACTATTACCATTTTGATAAAAACAATATTAGTGTTTTGATTAAAAAATAATATAAAATTAATATTTTAATAAAATTATAAACTAAATGTGTTTAATTAGTGATAAAGTCAAAATAGTTGTATTTTTAAATATAATTTTAAAAACTAAAATTAATTTGAAATAAATTATAATATATTTATTCTTGTTACTATATTGATACTTTTAGTACGTACGTAACATATGAAATCCATAGCTAAAATTTATTAAAAGAGTCTATATTGATACTATTAGTACGTAACATTCAACCGAACACTAATCGTTTTGCTAGAATGTTAATATTCAGAATTTTAATATTGCAACAGTATACATTAATGTGTATATTAAATAATAATAAACACTAATATAAAAGAAAAACGCATATGACCGCATCAAAATTGAATCTATGAAATACATATTTATACCCATTTTTGAAAAATACATATTTATACTTTTGTGTATCTTTAATCTTTTATACTACAATGAAAAGTAAATTAACATTTTTTCTGTTATCTTCTTTTCATTATTCATTTTCAAGAATAATTTCAGTGATATTTCATCTTCTCTTTCAACATCAAAATAAAATGAAAAAGAGACAAATACAATTTTAAAATGAAAAATTTTAATATTACTAAAATAGTTTAAAACTAGTTATCAGTGAAAATAGTACACTTTTGTTTGTAATTTAATTTTTATCATTAAAATATAATATAATTTATTTAAAATAAATCTTTGTGAGTTTCGAGAATATCCTTATTCATAGGTCTGAAATCCACATCTATAAATTGAAAAATCTTAACGATCAATCATATAATTAGTTGTTAGAATCAATAGGTCTTCGAATCGTTCATTTTAAAAAATTGAAATTGAAATCCTTTTAACGGGATGATCATATAATACTTCTCAAAAATATTTTTAGGTGAAATCAAAAATATTTTTAGGTGAAATCTCCACCTCATTTTTATATTTGATTTGAATTTCTGTCATTTCTAAAATAATCATTTTGTTATTTTACTTTCTATATTTAGAAAAGAGAATATCATTCTTACATATTAAGGGAAATCCATTGAAGAAAACTCTTACAATATTTTATAAAGAAAATAAAACAGTACACATCCAAGAATGAACAGAACCCAATGAGGCAAGATATGTATACTACCGACCGTACAGACCAGGCGCACACTAAAAAATACCAGGGATCTGACAGATGTTTTAAAGTCTAAACGGATTTGAAGTTGTTTAAAATTAAAACTAGCTAACTAGTCTCAAAGATGACTAATAAATGTTAATACAATATGTAGTGCTAATTAAGACTCACAGATCACAACCGTTGATTACATTTCCTAGAACGAAAATTAAAGAGATTCGATCATCATTGTTTACATCAAAAACAAAACGAGACTAAAATGGTATCTGTTCAAATGAGCTCCAAAAGCTTCACCGATCTGCAGAAACCTACAGGGAGAAATAAAAACATAATATAAAGTTATATCTCCAATCAAAGAAAGAGGGCAACGTTATATTGGAAGTAGCAAAAGACTGGCACTGATCACAGCCGTCTGATTACATTTCCTAGAACGAGATTAAACATATTCAATCAACATTGTCTACATCATAATATAAAGTTATAGCTCCAATGAAAGAAAGAGGGCAACGATATACTGGACGTTTGAGAAAAAGTGAGTAGTAAAGTACCTTAAGAGCATCTCATGTCTCTTCTGTAGCAGTAGCAGTAGCAGCAGCAGTAGCAGCAGCAGCAGCAGCAATTTCAGAAGTCTGTTCATTCTTGCTTTCAGAAAGTGTTTCTCTACAGATCTTCACTTCATTTTCAACCTCGATCAATCTCTCGTTTAGCAACTCTACTGCATCCATTTGCTCTTCAAATACTCTAAGACAGTCATTCCCAAACTCCTCGATTTGTCTCTCTATCCGAGCTCGTGTCATCCTGTCTTCCCCTTCTTGCTTCAATCTCAGCTTTTCAATTTCAGCAATGCTCAGAACTAAACCTCCAGAGCCTTTAACATCCTTGTAGACAGGTTTTTCATCACGCAAAGGGCAACGTTTCCTGTGCTCAGCTGATGCCTTTTTGGTTTCTTTCAAAGCCTTCCTATATCCTGCTAACACACTTGTCATCATCCTAAGCTCACTCTCAAGCCTATAGATCATTAAATCTTTTCTCTGTTGCTCCTCATACTTGCTTCTTTCAAGATTATGAATCATTTCATCTTTCCTTTGCAGCTCGCTCATCAGATACTCCTGGTTCATCTCAGACTGTGCACGCTCTCGCTCCTTTTGAGCACATGACATCCTAGCTTTTTCAGCCCACATCGCAATCTGTTCCACGCAGACCTCAACCGGAGGCGGTTTTTCATCCCAAGATGGTTCATCAGTCCTCAACCTCTTACTGTCAGGGGGGTTATGATGATAGGACATATCATTGTCGTCATCAATCTGCCTCTTGTTGTTAATATTACTACCTGAACCCATAGACATGTGCATGTCAACCCTAGATGCAAGGAAATGACCACCAGTCGAGGTGCCATGCATCTGTAACCCAGAGGCATAACGTAACGGAGATGCATCTCCTAAGATGAGATTCTCTTGGTCAACTCCATGAAGAGAGTCCCCATTTGGGAAAAAGGGAAAACCTCCTTCATGCTTTTCTGTATCTTCCTCTTCTTCCTCAAGATCTTCAATCTGTTCGTCTTCTCCCATTTCCATGGGTTCTTCTTCTATTATGTTCTCTTCCTCTCCTTCTCTACCACTACCAAGATCACAGCGGCGAAGGAAGGAACCAGCCTGTGTGTCTTCATTCCATGACCACTTTTCATCCTCTTCTTTCTTGTTTCCCTCAACATCCATTGGCTGTTCCTCAACAGGACCTTGCTGCTCCTCAGCTACCATTTCAGACACTGTCTCTTGCCCAAGATTCAATTCAATCATATGTTCTTCCACATAAGTCTCTTCTTCCTTTGACTCAGTTGCACAATCATCTCGTCCTAAATCAGCAGCACCAACATCTTCTTCCTTTGACTCAGTTGCACAATCATCTCGTCCTAAATTAGCAGCACCAACATCTTCTTCCTTTGACTCAATTTCACAATCATCTCGTCTTAACTCAGCAGCACCAACATTTTCTTCCTCCTTAACCTCCACACAATCTTCTTTCGGAGACTTAACCATAAACTCAACCTCCTTAACTTCATCCTCCTCCTCATCATTAGATTCTTCCTTTAGTAAATCCTCTTTCTGGCTTCTAATCAACAGCTGCAGATGAGAAGCAAAGAAACAATCACCAAGCGGAGTATCAGCTCTCAGCTCTTTCTCAACCATGAACCAAAGCAATGCAGCCCAATCAAGCTTCTCCAACTGCTTCTCCTTAACATCCTTTCCCCATTCAACCACCTCTACAGGCATAACCCACATATCATCAGTATGCAGCAGAACCCAAGTCTTTATAATCTCATCAACAAACTTAGCAGACTCATCCGTCTCCAGAACTTCCCTCTCCTCATCACTAATAACAATATCTTTCTTCTTAGGCAACTTCAAAGCTCGAGCCAAATCAGCACGGGTCACGTTAACCCTAGCCCCGTTCACATAACTACACCTACTCTCTGGACTATAATAAGCCACAAGGTTCGCTACAAGATCCTGACGAATATTCTGATCAAACTCTAAATGCAAAAACTCCCAGATCCCTAACGTCCTCAGTAACTTCTCATGGCTAGCAAAGTCTAAAGCTTTACAGGGGACGAAAGGTATGGGCTTTAGGGTTTTCAAGAGTACCTCAAGCTTCTCCCTTGACTTCTCTTGCTGCTTACGTTTCTTAAGAAGCCCTTTCTTCCGCTTCCCCCCTCCACCGCCTCCGCGTCGGTAGACAGATGAGCTTACGGCTTGTGTGGCGTCTGCATCGTCCTCTTCGTTCTTGCTTTCTTCGATCGATGGATCTGGTTGCTGATCTGACTCCTCGAGATCTCTCTGCGTTGATTCTGGAATTAGGGTTTCACTTCCTTTCTCGGCGGTGGGTTTCTGGGTTAGATTAGGGTTCGGTGGAAGGGTTTCTGGGTCTGTAACTGGATCTTGAGTGGGATCTGACGGCGAAGCCATGGCTGATTTTTTTTTCTTTTCTCCGGGGAAGAAATGAGTTCTCTTTCAAGGGTCGCGACGACAAATCTTCGAAGTCTTTCACGAGCTAACCAATCGGGAAATGACAGGTCACCGATCCGAGCAACTAGTCCCAATCCCTTATGTGGGCTCTAGTAACACTCCTTTAATGGGCCGAAAGTTCTTAAAAGACGCCCAAATCATTAATAGCTAGAATCCAAATATTGCACAATATACCCAATACCTTTCGAAAATTCCCAAAATAGTCGTCACGAGAGAAATCTTTCACAAGGAAATTAACCATTCGAGAAGTGACACGGCATCATCCCGAATTAATAAAAGTTTCTAAAAGAGGCACAAATCATTTTAATCGCTAAAATCCAAAACTTTCATAAAACACCCTGATATTTCTATAATTCACGAAAGAGTTCAAAATAGTCTGTCAAGTACTCTTTCGACTCTCTCTCACTCATTGCGTCGTGACTGTTATAGATCTTCCAGCTTCCCGATACCCTTTAACGGTAACTTTTTGGCGAATCAGCGACTTTAAAACTCTCTTTACCTTCTTTGTAACCGACTCTCATTTACTTCATCTTCCTAATCTCTCCTCTTTCTCTCTGCTGAAACGATTATGACTCTCCCCAAGTGTTTCCATCTTTATCTCTCTCTCCTCGCCGTGACGGCGACAATATTAATGGCCGTAACAGCTGCGCAGGCCGGGGGTCAAGTGCTGCAGGCGGAACTTTGGTGCGTAGCGAAGAACAACGCGGAAGATTCGTCGCTACAGACGGCGATGGATTGGGCTTGTGGACAAGGCGGCGCGGACTGTGGCCCGATCCAACAAGGTGGACCTTGCAACGACCCGACGGATATCCAGAAGATGGCTTCGTACGTTTTCAATAACTACTACTTGAAGAACGGGCTTGCTGACGAGGCTTGTAATTTTAATAACAACGCTGCTCTCACTTCCATTAATCCCAGTAAAGTCTTCCTTTTTTAAAACATTGAAATCTCTGTCTCTCTAAGATTCAAAGTTGTTACCTTTCTTGGAGCTTGTTGGAGTTGTTTCTCATGTGTGTGTGTGTTTTCAGGTCAAGGAACTTGCAAGTACCCGTCAAGGTATGACGTTTTTTTTTTAGTGATGTTTTCGAATTGCTTTTGATTGGTTTTGAGTTATGTGAAAGATTGTTTGGTGATTCGAATTCTTAAAGTTTCCTTTTTTAAACTCATTATTAGTTTCCTGACCAAGAGCGAATCTTGTTTTGATAAGAATGAAGTTGTTTCTTAGATTGTTCAAATACATAAATTAATGTCTTTTGTATATTACTTATTGGGGATTCACTTTGTGCTGCTTTGTTCTCTGGTTTCTTCACATCTATAACTTGTCTTAGTTGTTCTGTAATCTCTTCTTATTATAACTGAAGATTACTCGTTATTTCTGTTGGATGTTGGCAGTAAGAGATTGAGCAATGGTCGAGTCGCGGATGACACTTCAATAGGTGCAGGACACGCTGATATGAGCCGTGGCAGACGAGTTTCCAACACTTGGATCTTGTTGGCCTTTAGCATTTTGATGGTGACACGGATGATTCATGTTTAGGCCACAAGCACATTGCTCGTTGCTGATGAGGAAGGTGTTATTTTGATCTCTCCCAATGTACCTTTGAAGATAGGTCCCTAATATCTAATTTTCTGCCATCTTTTGGCTTTGTGTCCTTCCAGTTCATCCCACTTGGAGTGTGTTTCAGCATGTTTTTTTTATAGTTTCAGTTGTATTGTGTATTGATATTTCTCTTTGTCAACGAATATATAATGTTATCAACCAAAATTAGCTGATACATTTGATCTGAAATTCTTGATATACACAGTAATAGGCTATTAATTTGTAGATTATCTATCAATCATGCAAAATAAAGAAAGAAAGAAAGAGAAATCACATTTAGTAATATAGCACCGACATTCCACCAAAAGTCTACACTTAAAAAAGCAAAGAAACTTGAATGGCGTTTCCTTAATGTACATAACATTGACTAGATAGATGTCAGAAATAGGAGTACAAACCAAATAATACAATGGGCCTGTAGTCTTTTCTGCAATAGTATCACCTGCTCAGTCCAACAAGAGACTCTGGAATACATCCCGGTTGGTGGAAAGTCATGTCAACACTGGTTAGCTTGAAGGTGACTAGTAATAGAGAGAATTTCATTGTAAGTCACTTCTAAACTATTAAGACTGAAGTACAAATAGTACTTACCCCTTATAGTTGCACAAAAATTACAAGAGATTGCTACTGCCATTATAATGCACCGAAAATTTTGTTTGGGCTTTCACTAACTGAATTGTCGATTTTAAAGAAGAGCTAAACTCTTATTTTTAACTTATTTTTTGGTCCAGATATTTGATCCATATTGTCTATTTTACCAAACCCAACAGATTTATACATTTAACTCTTCTTAATAATCAGACCTAATTATATATATTTCCTTCGACAATTAACATACATCCGAAAAACAAGTCTTATAATTACGGTATTCCAAAAACAAATCTAACATATCACATATTTCCTAATTATACACATTCAACATATCAAAAAAAGATATCAAATATTACCAACCCACTCACCAAAATCTTTCAACAACTTGCCAACCAAGTTATGCTTATCCCATTGATAAGAATATTCTTCTTTTCCCTATTAGACAACCAATAAATAATTTACATTAATATTGATTTAAAGATATTGAAGCCTAAAGATACGTTAGTTATTCTAACAGAACAAAATCTACCACCTAATTATTACGGCTTAACCTATTCACAACCAATTTTCGACCACCAGTATATATAACTTTACCCTCTACTCTCGAAATCATATCAAAAAGATAAAATCATCAACATGTCTAAGATGACGACTTTTGCTCCTCTCACAAAACCCAGACCTTTCAAAGACAATTGGCGAGTTCAAGTCAAATGTTTACATTCATGGAAGCAAAACACACCTTTTGCTGGTGACACTTTCGAGATGGTCTTAGCAGATCAATGGGTAAGTTTCCTAACAAACGTTCCATCCTTTCATTGTATTACTAATCTCACGGATCTAATATGACTGTTTTTTTTTCTTAGGGTAACAAGATCCATGCAACTAGCAAACGATCTCTCATGTAGAAAATTCAACGTGTCTTACCTACAGATTCATGGGGAGTTATTGAAAACGTTACCGTCACTGCAGCTGGTGGGCAATATCGAACTACAGACTACAAATACAAGATGGTTATAGCAGAAGACTCTGTGGTATCAAGGTCAGATTTAGATGATGATAGATTTTTCTTATTTCTTCCTACCTATGGAGAAATTGAAAAGAGGGTAACAAAACAGTCAGCTTTCCTCATAGGTAATCTCAAATTCAATTATATTCGTATTGTAAAAAGGATTTGTAAGTTGAGATTTACCTATCTTTTTTTTTTTTTGACTCGCAGATGTTATAGGAAGAATTCATGATCTTGGTGATGTACAGACCGTTCAAGTTTCTGGCCAAGACAAAAAGAGGGTTCAGTTTCGCTTAGTTGACACAGAGTATGTTTTATAAATAAAAATACTTCCCGTCTTAAACACTTTATTTGTAAAAACTTGCTTCCTACCCTAATAACATGCTTTTCTATTGTTAGAGGAAACAATATTGCATGCTGTCTCTGGGGAACATATGCCGAGCAACTAGAACCCTTTTCTGAGGCCGGAAAGGATCAAACAATTATTTGTTTGATTAGGTTTGCAAAAATCAAGGAATTTCGAGGTAGCTATTTTCATTCATTTAAATAGAAATTTTATTTTTTTACTTTTGGCTAATATATTACATTTTCTAACAGGAGAGGTGCAAATCACTAATGCTTTTGATGCCTCACGACTTTTCCTCAATGCAGTTATCCCGGAATTGACCGATTTAACTCAGAGGTTTTTTTCTGTTATGGTTCCTCAATGAAAATCGTTATCTCATTCTGATTTAAATGCATTTTAGGCTCTCAACTGGTGATCTCTCTGTTTCTCTGGTCGAGAAACCGAGTGGGAAGAAGGATGGTAAAAGAACTTTTTATAACTGGAATGAGGCTGAGATCAAAACAATTTCAGAAGTCGTTGAGGCCAATCAGGTACATTATACATTTTTGGAAGTGTTATAGCACTCTTAATGGTTAGAAAGATCTAAACTACAATTGATTTTTATTATATATACTCTTTAGGTGGAGATTTGCAAAATCATATGTACTGTTGAAGCAATAGATACAGATTGGTCTTGGTTCTACATTGGTTGTAACCGGCACCAAAAACGTGTCAATAAGTTACCCAAAATTGATTATGGAAGGATGACAAAAAAAGATAAGCATGCGTTTCGTTGTGAAAATTGTCGTTCTAATATCACTAATGTGGGACCTAAGTAAGTGATTATGAAAGCTAATCAAATTCTTGAGACTTCACAATGTATTCATTTCTGTGCTATCTATAATTACGTCCTGACTTTTTGTTTTATTTTTTTAGGTTCAAGCTACATTTGGTTGTCAAAGATGACTCTGCAACATGTAATGTAATGTTGCTTGGCTCTGTTGCTAAGTCCATCGTTGGAGTGGATTCTGAACAGTTATGGGATGGCTCTTTTGAGGAGGTATAATTTTTAATAGAAGGTCTTTGTGTTTACTAAAATCTTTCCCCGATAAAATAGTTTAGATTAAACACCATGTATTCCTACTTTATATCAGATTGAAGATCCAGATATGCTACCAGAACCTATCAATTCTTTGGTGGGAAAGTCTTTTTGTTTTGGGGTTTCCATAACCTCGGACAATGTCACAAATGGATGAGACACTTTTGTTGTTCTAGAGGTTTGTTCTGGAGATAAAGTTCTTAGTTTCCAGACTGACTCTCAATCAACTTCCGATATGGTCACAAATTCAGACACCATGTCATCTAGATCTGTAAGTATATGTTATTAGTGTGTACGTTTTCTACCAAATTTGTACTACATATGATTTTACTCTTTATTTTAAATGGATTTAGGTTATGATGTTGGATCAAATTTCCTCTGAGTGTCTAACTCCTATAACAAAGAGAAAGGAAGATGATTCTGACCTACAAGACCTAACATCTACTACCAAGAAACAATGCACCAAGATAATCAAACAAGAGAAAACCAAGACAAACTAGGATAATGTTTCCAGTTCTACTTATGTTTCAAGTTTATGTTTTTCTTTGATTTTTTCGTACTTTGAATTTAGCCTAAGTTTTATTTTTGGATTTGTTTTGTTTTTTGTTGCTTCCTATATTTAATAATAAGCTGGGTTTTTTTTTATATCAAATGCATTTAAGTATGGATATTCCACCTAACTAACCAATACAACAATAAAGCTGTAAAATGAGGCTATAAAAAACATACCTGTCCAATATTAAGAGAATGAATGGCCGAACAAAGTTGTACAATATATGCCTCCTTATCACTGACGATAACTTCCTTGCGTCCTGAGGTTAATAAAATTGTTAGTTCAATAAACCATATATTTAACACTCTATAACATAATTTTGGTTTTAATATAAATATATTATTAAAGAAAGTATAAAACTCGAGATATGTCAATGCAAAAAACTATCTAGAATCCTGGTATATACTTCTAACGTTTAACCTTTGTCATTGATTTAAGGGAACAAAATATTTTGTAAATCCATATTTAACTCATGATTGAAAATTACCTCATAAGTTATAACATAATTTTGTTTTTAATATAAATATATTATTAAAGAAAGTATAAATCTCGAGATATGTCAATGCAAAAATCTTTCTACAATCCTGGTATATACTTGCTAACTTTAACTTTCCTAAATTTAAGGGAACAAAATATTTTGTAAATCCAAATTTAACACGATTGAAAATTACCTCCTAATTTAAAAAAAAAAAATCACGACTGATCTCATTCTTCTTTCTACTTTCTCATCTTCATCAGAAAAAAAGAAACCTTCATTTCTACTTACTTGAAAGACGAGGATGAAAAGGAAAAAAGGACACCAATCTCCGTTTGGAGTTCAACCTGCAACCAAAAATACAACACCATCAGTCAATGAAAGGCAGAGTTGTTCACATACTATCAGTTTTCGAGACATTCCCTTAGGATCTATATTTTATAGACTATTTGAGAATATTGAAAACCGAAATATTGTTGACAACACAACAACATATCAACAGATAGGCATGCTTTCACCACAAACACCAAGGAATAAACGAAGATTGGTCCTTGGTACGTCTTAAATTTAATATCTCAGTCATTGACACTCAAATCATTAAGAAACATGAATCTAACGGTTTTGTTTTTGGATTTCAAAAGGACTCGATCTGTTGAAAACCCAAGTGCTAGACACTCCACAACTGAGCAGTTGCTTAACATCATTATCAAGTAATTTTTGACTCATATAATTCATATTTGGTCGCAACTACTTCATGACTTATACTCATTATTATCATAATCTGCTCATTTTAAACAGGGGATCTACATAAGACGAGCTTCAATTCTATAACAACAAAGACATCAAACCAAAGACGTTCAACTTCACAGGGGTCAACACGTACTGTCCTGAAAGACATTACTAATACAGTACACTCACGTAAAACAAACTTACAGTTACCACCATCTACGCTCAATGAATCGACTAAGGACATAGACGAAGATGGTGATATAGTCGGAACAGATTTGTTTGGAGGTTTGACATACTGTACTTCCTTACGTTGTACACGATTTACTCTGAAATTGAAGCTAATAAATTTTGTATATGCAGGAATAGTTGATATTGATGAAGTACAAGTATTTGACTGTAGTTCTCAAGAGGATTCAGATTCAGAAAACGATGAAACTGACGTTGATGATCCTATGGATACAGAACCAGATCATGTGCTAAACATTACAACTGACTCAGCACAAAAACAACAACCAGCTCATGTGTTTGTGAAGTCTTCTAAACCGTCCATGAACCATTTTTCTCACTCTGATGGTAATGATTAGGTCCTAATTTTTTTTATAATAACGAATACTCATTTTTTTCTAAATTTTGCATTTTAATTTTTTGTTTTTGTTTTTTGCAGAGTATTTAGATGAAGGTGATCCTGACTACAGTTGTTCTCATTGTGGTGCTATCATGTGGTATGGAGAACGGTTAAATAAGCGACGAAATGCAAAGAATCCTACTTTTTCTTTGTGTTGTATGCAAGGTCAAGTGCAATTGCCTTTATTGAAAGAACCACCAGCAGTTCTAAAAAAGCTTTTGGAAGGAGATGATCCAAGAAGCAGGCATTTCCAGAAACATATCAGACCTTACAATATGGTTTTTTCATTCACTTCTCTTGGTGGTGCAGTACAAAGGTCTTTGAAAAAAGGTAAAGGACATAATATGTTTCAAATACAAGGAGAAAATTACCACTTAATCGGGAATTTAACTCCTCCTGATGGAAGTGAAGTGAAGTTCGGACAGCTATACATAGTTGACACAGAAAATGAAGTTGAAAATAGAGCAAAATGTTTGAGGTACTACAATCAACATTTCCCCCCATTTTTTGTATGATATTATAACTCATATATTTTTTTACTATGTTTTACAGCTCTGGAAAAAACAGGATCCAGGTCAAGAAAAAGGATAACCTCAGAAAAGACATCATTGACTCTTTGATGAAAATGTTGAATGAAGTTAATCCCTATGTTCAAAAGTTCAGATCAGCAAGAGATCGTTTTAACATAGATCCTGAAGATTCATTTCATATGAGGATTGTAAGTGAGAGGTTAAAGGATGGCAGGACCTATAACACACCAACAGCCTCAGAAGTCGCTGCACTTATTCCTGGAGATTTTAGTCTTGATATAGACAAAAGAGATATCGTTCTACAACAAAAGTCAGGGAAACTGCTGAGGATAAACGAGATTCATGCTTCGTATCTTGCACTTCAATATCGTCTTTTGTTTACATATGGAGAAGATGGATTCCGACTTGGTATTAAGAAAGGAGCAACTAAAGTTACGCGAAAACATAAGAAGCCCAATATCAGTATGAGGAAATTTTTTGCTTTTCGCCTGCATGAACGTAAGAACGAATCTCATCATCTTCTACATTCTAGAAGACTGTTTCAGCAGTTTGTGGTGGATGCCTTCACAACAATTGAATCTAACCGCATTCGATATTTGAAGTTAAACCAGCCTTCTTTGCGATCTGATAGTTATGACTCCATTAAAGAGTCTGAGAATGCAGGGAAAGAGGATATGGCTGAGCAAGGATCTGAATTTACGTTACCAGCTTCTTTTCTAGGGAGTCCTAGATATATGAAGAATTGTTACTTGGATGCTATGACAATATGTAAGCATTTTGGATTCCCAGATTTCTTCATCACTTTCACATGTAATCCAAAATGGCCAGAGATCACAAGATATGTGAAGGCCAGGAAGCTAAAGGCAGAAGATAGATCAGACATTATTTGTAGGATTTTCAAAATCAAACTTGATTCATTGATGGATACTTTGACGAAAAAGAATATTTTGGGAGAGACGGCTGCATGTAAGCACATATCGTACCCTTATATGTGCTTTATTTTCATTCTCCTTAGATGTATCCACTAAGTTAAGACTAATATTTTTTTTTGGTTTATTGCAGCTATGTACACAATTGAGTTCCAGAAACGTGGATTACCACATGCTCACATTCTCCTATTCATGAAGAAGATAAAGCCCACTACGACAGACGACATTGACAGCCTAATTTCTGCAGAGATTCCGAATAAGAAAGAAGAACCTGAGCTTTATGATATCATTAAGGATATGATGATTCATGGACCGTGTGGAGCTGCTAATATGAACTCACCATGTATGGAGAATGGTCGTTGCTCTAAGTCATATCCTAAATCATTTGCTGAGACGACTACTATTAATAGAGAAGGGTTTCCGGTTTACAGAAGGCGTCAACAGTCTGAAAACTATGTTCTGAAGAATGGAGTGAGATGTGACAATCGATACGTCATTCCTTATAATAGGAAACTATCTCTTCTTTACAAAGCTCACATTAATGTGGAGTGGTGTAACCAAACATGGTCTATAAAGTATTTGTTCAAATACATAAATAAAGGACAAGATCGTGTAACAGTTGCTGTTGAACCACCAGATCATATTGTTGCAAGTGAGCTAGGCGATGTCGAGCTTACTAAAGAGAAGATCGAGAAGAAAAGGAATGAACTAAAGGACTTCTTTGATTGCAGGTATAAAAACATGTTCAAGTGATTCAGTTTTTCATACGTTTTTATATAAACATGCAATCTTGATGTATATTTTTTATATTTGCAGATACGTTTCGACGTGTGAAGGAACATGGAGAGTGTTCAAATTTCCTATACACTATCGTTCAGTTGCTGTAGAGAAACTTAGTTTTCATCTTCCTGGGAAACAAGTTGTTACTTTCAGAGGAAAGGATAAACTGAAAGCAGTCGTAAGTCGGAAGCTCATTCAAAATACAATGTTCCTGGCTTGGTTCGAGTTATGTAAAATTGACTCTCTTGCAAGAACATTGACATATTCACAGATTCCAAACTTCTTTACTTACGATAAGAGGACAAAGAAGTGGAAGAGACGGAAACGAGGTTTTGCTCTTGGGAGAATTAATTATGCTCCTCGGACCCAGGAAGATGCTTACTTCTTGCGTGTACTGTTGAATGTTGTCAAAGGACCCACAAGTTATGAAGACATCAAAACTTATCAAGATGTTCTGTATCCGAGCTACAAAGAAGCATGTTATGCACGTGGGTTACTAGATGATGATCAGGAGTACATTGATGACATAATAAGAAGATCTTATGAAGGCACAGCAAGAGAACTAAGAAAAGTGTTTGTTATGATGCTTATGAGTAACACTTTATCAAAGCCGGAGACTGTCTGGGAAAGCACTTGGGAGTTATTGTCTGAAGATATCGAGTACTACAGGAGAAAATATTTTAACAGACCAGGTTAGTAGTTAACTTTTCCAGGTTTAACCTCAATTGTGTATCATGACATTTCTGTCGTTTACTTATATTTACTTTGCTTGCTGTTATTTTTTCTTTGTAGGTCTACTGCTGAGTGATGACGATAAAAAGAAGTATACTTTACTAGAGATTGAATCACTCCTGAGACGTAATGGTACTTCTCTAGCAAGGTTTACATCTATGCCTAATCCACCAAAGACAAGTAGTCATGATTCGAACGTCTTGGTATTAGACGAACGCAGCTATTGCCGCTCGAGTTTGTTAGAAACTCTTGATAAGGATATTCCAAAGTTGACTTGTGAGCAAAGGAAAATATATGATCAGATTCTTGCGGCTGTCAATGAAGCAGATGGTGGAATATTTTTCGTGAGCGGTTTTGGTGGAACGGGAAAAACTTTTCTCTGGAAACTTCTCTCTGCAGCTATCAGATCTCGAGGAGATATTGTTCTAAACGTGGCCTCAAGTGGAATTGCGTCATTGTTGTTGCCAGGCGGTCGGACAGCTCATTCCAGATTCGGTATTCCATTAAATCCAGATGAGTTTTCTTCATGTACCATGAAACATGGAACAGACCAATCTAATTTATTGAAAGCAGCATCACTTATTATATGGGATGAAGCTCCAATGATGAGCAAACATTGTTTTGAAGCTCTGGATAGAAGTTTATCTGATATTGTTGGAAAGCATGACAAACAGCCATTTGGTGGAAAGATTATTGTTTTTGGAGGTGATTTTAGACAGGTCTTGCCTGTTATAAACGGAGCTGGTAGAGCTGAGATTGTGATGGCTGCACTGAACTCATCCTATCTTTGGGAGCACTGCAAAGTGCTTAAGCTAACCAAAAATATGAGATTGCTATCGAGTGGATTGTCAGTAGAAGAGGCAAAGGAACTCAAAGATTTTTCTGAGTGGATATTAAAAGTTGGTGATGGTAAACTTTCTGAGCCTAATGATGGTGAAGCAGAGATTCAAATCCCCACAGAATTTTTGATTACGGAAGAAGATGATCCTATAGAAGCCATTAGCAAAGCTATATATGGTGATTCTACTTCATTGCATGAAAACAAAGAGCCGAAGTTTTTTCAAGAGAGAGCTATACTTTGTCCAACTAATGAAGATGTTAATGTTGTTAATGAATATATGTTGGATAAGCTAGAAGGTAATTTTTTTTCTTTTCATTCTACCTTCTTTATGCTTGATTCTTTGTCTCCTAATATATTTTTCTGTTTCAGGCGAGGAAAAAATTTATAACAGTGCTGATAGCATTGATCCTTCTGATACGAGTTCTGTAAACAACGAAGCTCTTGGTCCTGATTTTCTAAACACGGTTAAGGTTTCTGGTTTACCAAACCATAGTCTTAGACTAAAGGTTGGTTGTCCTGTTATGGTACTCAGAAACATAGCGCCTACTGATGGCTTGATGAATGGAACGAGACTTCAGATCACTGAGCTCATGGATTTTATGGTTCGAGCGAGGATTATAACCGGAGAAAGAGTTGGGAAAATAGTTGATATTCCTAGATTGTTGATAACACCATCAGACACCAGATTGCCTTTTAAAATGCAGAGAAGGCAGCTGCCTCTCGCTGTTGCATTTGCGATGACAATCAACAAGAGCCAAGGTCAATCGCTTTCTGAAGTAGGTCTCTATCTACCAAGACCTGTATTTTCACATGGTCAGCTATATGTTGCTGTTTCTAGAGTCACTTCTAAAAAAGGTTTGAAGATTTTGATTTTAGACGAATATGGCAAACCTCAGAAAAAACTATGAATGTAGTTTTCAACGAAGTTTTTGACAACCTTTAATATTTGAGGTAATAAGGTATGTGTCTTGCATGTCTTTATATGTCTTACACAGTTTTTATGTTTGATTGTGTCTCAATTTAATTAAAATAACTAATATGAATTTACATTGTTGTTCTTTCTAGGTTTGAGCCCTTGCATTTTCTCGTGAGCTGGAATAATGGTTGCTGATTCTCATCGTTTTTTTTAATGTAGGCAAACAATCTT